AGTCGGCTAAGAAAGGTTACAATCCCAGACTTAAAACTTCACTTTTCTGTCTTAAAGCATACCCCTAGGGGGCAAGGTTTGAAAAGTAGTTCATGATACACTCCAGAGTGTTTCTGGGAGAAGACAGAATTCACCCCCTTGGGCATGAAGTTGACCTGGGAATCCAGAAGGCTGTAACTCCCCTGTCAACTTCAATCTCTTGGTAGTGTTTCCTTGGAGCACCTTGGTTGGGAAGGATTCTGAGACTTGTGTTTATCTCAGCAGTGGTTATCAGCGTCTTCTAATGCAGGCGGGGGTGGCACATGGCAGTTTGTTGTAAATGATTCATCATAGATTAACATGGGAAATTGTCTAAATTTTTGGCACATTTTTCAAACTGCTTGACCTCTCAGATTTTATGTTTATCACTTGCTTTCAAAGTCATAGTTACCCTTACATTTCTGCCTTCATGATTCAAGGATATTAATCATTATGGGAAGCACATCCAAGTATATCTGAAAGGAATCCTTGAAGATTTGACAGTGATAATCCCAGTGCATTTAGTCTTTTCTTGTTTTTTTTTTATTTTAATTATTTATCTGACAGACAGAGATCACAAGTAGGCAGAGAGGCAGGCAGAGAGAGGGGGGAAGCAGGCTTCCTGCTGAGCAGAGAGCCAATGCAGGGCTCGATTCCAGGACCCTGGGATCATGACCTGAGCCGAAGGCAGAGGCTTTAATCCATTGAGCCACCCAGGTGCCCCCATTTAGCCTTTTCTTGATCCTCACAAGCTATATGGGTAAAGAGAAAGTTAAAAGGGTACTGTGTTCCATGTAAAAAATTACAGGATCTTATTCGGTAAGAAACAGGAAGTTATTTAAATAATAGATAGGACTATCAATATGTTAACAGGAAAAAAATAGTAGAAATATTAATAATCATTGGAGTGAAGCTTTGGGCAAGAATATTTAGGATAATGAAGCAGTCTAGAAGAGAGACAAAGAGAAACTTAGCACAACCACAACACCAAGAAAGTAAAGAGGTGGGGAGAAATTCAGGAGACACTTTTGAGGTAGACTCATTAGAATCTAGGAACTGATTAGATGGAGGGAACAATAGGAGTAAATGATGATTACAAGAGTGTTCATGTAACCAACTATGTGAGTAAAGATTTTATTAACTATTAAATGGGGAAGGCAGGAAAAGGAGTTATTCTGTGGGAAGATGTCAGTGACTACATTGATTATTTGCTTGTTTGCTCCTAGGTCTGTGTTCTTCCCTACAGAGGGAACTACATTACTGAGGCTCCCTGGTTTCCAATCAGGTTTGGGCAATGGCAGGTGTGGGCAGAAGAGTAGAGGTTGGAAGGCAGGGAGAAGCCAGGCAACATTTCTCAGGGTGACCCGATCTTTTCCAAGGTTTTAGTTCCCACCAGATAAGCTTTCTGTCTTTGGTTCTGGCTTTCTCTTTGGTCATAGCTCTAGCCTCAACTATAATTCTAGCTCTAGCTGGGTGGCTTCTGGATTCCAGAAACTCAACCTCTTCCTGTTATCCTCTTGCCCTAAGGGAGTGGCTTCCTGCTTTTGTTAATCTGAGTGATCTTGTCATCCTCACTTCAGCTTCTTGTCTCCTTTGTTACCCGTGTAACCGGTTCTCAGTGTTAAACTCCCCATTTGAAATACCTCAACTGGTTTATTTCTTTGACTGGAACCCAACTGATATGATAATAAATTCAGTTTTAAATACATTGAGCTTAAGTGTGTGACTTCCTAGTCAAGCGCTCCAGGAGGCTTGGAAATCATTACCAAAGGCTTGGAGACAGAGAGCTGGGTTGGGAAATCAATAGCATATAGTTCGTATCTGAAGCCATAGGTCATATTTCCCAAGTTGAGGAGATGAAGAGATTAAATCTGAAAGATTAAATAGTGGGCTCACTTATGACATAACAGTATTTTGAATTTAGGCCAAGGAAGAACTTGAAAAGACCAAAAGAAGAACAGAAGTAGAAAAACCAGGTTAGGAGTGTCATAGAAGATGAGAAATGAGAAATGAAATTTCTGAAGGAAAGAGCACAATAAAATCAAACTTGGTGGAAATAGCAGAGAGGGCACACAAAAAAAGGATCAAGGCATGTAAGGCAAATGTTCTCATATTAGCAAGGTGAATGTCATCGCTCCCTTTGTGAGAACAAGGACAATGCAATGGTGGCGAAGAAAAAGATAAGGGAAAAAAGTCAAAGCCATCAATGACCACAAATTCCTTTTTCAGGAGAGTGGACAATGAAGACCTTGAGAGAAATAGTACCTAAGTCAGAGGAGAGGAAGAGCTTAAGCAATGACATAAGTGGATACTGAAGACTCCACAAAAGTAAGAGGGATGAGGGCAGATGCTTGAGTGGAATGGTTATTCCTTTTAAAAGAAGGGAGAGGATAATGTGATTGGTCAAGATATATATTTATAGGGTTACTGATTCTACCTTTTCTAATGATACTATCAAGTAATATCTACTATGCACAAACTTCTAACATGAACAGAGGTATGCATCTTTTTCTTATTCATAGCTCTCCTTAAAACAAAAAGGCGAGAGGAGGAATCACACACTTGAGGCTAAATTCTAGCTTTTCTCCCAATGTTTCTAGCAAAAGATGAAAATTTAGTGTACACAGTGATTGCTAGTAGCATCTTAAAAAACAGAAACATTCATAAAATTGGCTTTTCCTAAGTGCTAATCTGTCAAACTTTTGTGATGATATTTTGTATTATATATTTGAAAATTGCTAGGAGAATACTATTAACTATAGTCCCTATTCTGTACCTTGCCTTCTCCATGATATATTTATTGTATAACTAAGTTTGTACCTTTTGACCACCTGCACCCATTTCCCCAACCCACACTTCTTGACAAAGTTGTGACCCCATCACTTACTTCTACAGATGCTAAGCTCCCTGAAAATATTGGGGGAAACCAGTTTCATATATTCTTTATTTATATACACCCGATTTTTTTTGTATTATCCTGAAGCTATAAGTTATACTGCAGTATGTGTGTGTCTCTGTTGTGTATTTGCTTATAACTGGGAGGCTTAGAAATCAAGCAGCTGTAAATCAATTCCCACAAGAAAAAAAAAATTGGGGCAAATAATGTCCAGGCATCCAGCAATAGATTGAAGGGAACTGATGCTTCCATAAATACATTGTTTTGTTAACAAGAAAGGAAGGTCTTCTAAATAATTTAAATGCCAAGAAGAGAGGCAATTAATAACAGGTCATTTACATAGCAATTTAATATATACCCTGTGCTGACCATACTTTACACATTTTACCTAATTTAATCCTTAAAACAGCCCTACAAGTAGACAGTAGTGTTACCTCCATTTCACAGAGGAGGAAGAGAGCCCTAGAAGAGAATTTGTCCCAGGCTACTCTGGAACGCAGGCAGTGTGGCTCTCAAGTCTTTACTCCTGGGTCCCCTGGGTGGCTCATACAAGTGTTGGGCTCTTGATTTTTGTTCAGGTCACGATCTCAGGGTCATGAGATCGAACCCTCCATTAGACTCGGTGCTCATCATGGAGCCCGCTTGAGATTTTCTCTCTCTTCCTCTGCCCCTGCCCTGGCTTGTACATGCCCTCTCTCAAGACAGTCTTAAAAAAATTTTTTTTAAAAAGCCTCCTAACCACTCCACTCTAGTGTAATTTATACCTAGCTCATTCCTAGATATATTTACTAAAATTTTCTGCCTTTTTTAAAGAATTAGGGGTAGAGTTGTTAAAATATTATTTTTCCCCTAAATGTACCTCTAAAGAAAACTTCCACAACGAATAATTTTGAAGTTTTTTAATGCACGAAAAGAACATCTTAGAAACAGAACAGGTATTGACTCATTAACGATGAAGCACTATATAAAGAAGCCCCCTCCCCACTTAGTAAATAGGAATATAGTGTAAATAGACGTGAAAGGAAGTGAACACTTTAGGATTAAATGCAAACCCTAAAGTTGTATACAACATTCATATATGGCTTATTATTTCATGGCAACAATATTCTCATAACAATGTATATGACATTTATACGTACTGGTAGGGTGCTTTTGACTCAAAAGTTTAAACAAAAATACTGGAGAGGTAGTTTTGCCAATGCAAGGTGATTAAAAATAAAGGCTTTACCTTGCTTTTTTTCCTTAAACATCTGTAACCATTTCCCTTTGTTCTAATTTTCTTCTGGATTAGCCAGGAAGATAATGATGCTTTTAGAAGAAGCCAATTCAAAACCCTCTAAGAATGGATTCCCACAACTACACAATGATGTTTTTGAAACAACTGCTCTGAAATTCCCTGGGGTGGGTGTGTGTGTGTGTGGGGGGGGGGTTCTCCATAGTTTTCTTCTGTTTTAGAAAGCATATGGATTCCGGCTCCAAGGAGACCTGTTAAGGTTCCTGTTAAGGTTCTACCAGGAGTTACAGGGACTCATCCTGTTTTTCTCCTCAAATTCTGCATCATGGTCTCATGATGGTAATTTCTATAGTGACCCAAGAGTATTGGTAGGTAGCCTGTCTTGGTAAGTCAGGGATGGCTTTAATAAATATAAATGCATATGTATATATATACTGAAGCTTGAAACAAAAGTTCGAAAAATTCTCTAGCTAGCCAGTAGAATAGCATGAGGAGTACTAGAAGGGACTGCATGTCATTCCTCAGTTGTGTTTCATAAAGACATCACATCTTAGGCGTAAAGAATTTTAGCTTCTGCCTGTCACCTGCTGCTTTATCTGCAGGAGACAACATAGAGTGGGGAAGGTCTACAGATATTAAAATTCTTTGACAGTGGTCATTTGAGCCTATGTACAAACTAGCTTATCCTATTCTTACAGTGAGAAATAAGCCCGGGAAAAAAAAAAAAAAGTCAAGGGGCAACAAAACATTGGTCAATTCTCAAATCTAGAATAGCCATTTACCAGACAATGGTTAGGAACCACTAGAAACAATCCGACATAATATTAATCAGGTATAACTTGTTACACTTCAGAAAGCATAAATATACAGTAAGGAAGAGGTTCCTATGTAGCCCCACAGAGTTATGTACAAGTTGGAGCTGCTGTGAAGCTGAGCAGGAACTCCTGGAACACCCCCCACGCCCCCCACCCCAGCTCTAAGCAGATCTCCGCACACAGTTATACTTGCGAACGCACAACGTGAGAAATCAAGGTCACCAGTGAAATAGCTCTTTGCCAGCTGAGGGTCTTCTTTCCCATAAATATGCACAAGTCTGGGCTCCAGGGGTGGCCCGTGGCCTCACAGGTCTTGCCCCTTCGTGGTGCCACGATCTCTCAGTGCACGTGGAGCTGAGGCACGCGCTGGACGCCTAACTCCTGCTTCCGGTGATTCAGGTCGGGAGCTCCTGCCTTCACAGTCTCCAGATGCAAATCAAAGCATAAATAACAGAGACCACGCTCGTGGCTCCTCCGTTCACAACATTACTGGGAACAGATACTGGTCAAAGCAGCGCAAAAGCTGCATGCCAGGGTCCACGAGTGGAGAGGAGTTTTGTGCACTTTTGCAAAAACGACCCCCTCCCCCAAAATCTACCCTACGTGTCTTTTATTTTACTGGTTAGCCCTGTCTGTAGCTAGGAAGACACTGTGTTGCTCCTGGGCTCTTTCTATCAGCTTCCTCTTCTTTTTCTTGTTCTTCTTCTCCTTTGCCTTTGGGGTTCTCTTTCCTATACCAGGGGAAAGAGAAAGAAATGAAGACATGTCAGAAACGGCGCTTTCTCTAGGAAAGAAAACACAAAACATTAAGAGTTTTACACAAAGCCCATCTGGAAAACATCACCTACGGAAAAAGCAGCCTCAAAGAGAAAATTGTTCACATTAATTTTGACGGAATAATAATAATTTACTAAATTGGATATGCTGTCTAAAACAGAGACTGATCTTCCTGTTATAGGGAACTGGCATATTTAAAAACCTCCCAGTGGCCTGATCAGTCTTGCAAATATCATCCTGCCACAAAAATTCCATTTATCCCCTCCGACTTTTAACAATGCTACCCTTTACTAGACATCTTTACATCTTTCTACGGCTCCACATGTCGGTGGGTCAAAAGAAAATAAGCAGCTATCTACAGTAAATATACCAGAAGTTTCCATCTCCCTGGCCCTCCTCTTCCCCAGGCGAAAGAAAAGTCTTGCTTTTAACATTATTCCCTCCCTGTTCTCCAAAGACCAGTGTATGAAATGACATAGGTGGAACTCTTCATTTTCTATAAAAATTCATGAGGACATCGTTCATTATGTGGCTTAGGGCTTCTTACCCAAATTCCCTAGACCAGTTATTGTAAGCAAGAAAAATGCTGGTTTGTTCCTGAAGAACTGGGGAGAGGTGTCTTCCTACCAGAAGATCACACAGCCACCTAGTAATCCTATTTCTCCTCTTTGCCTTTGCCACCAGGAAGTCCAGATCACAAGCTAAATAGTTGAGGCTTGTCTCCATCAGAGTTGTTGAATATAGTCTCCCCTTTGCCTCTGCTCTATTTAACTTTTTGCACCTCCCGGTTATGGTTCGCGGTTTTTACAATGTTTCAACATCTCTTTGCAAGTAAATCCACGTAAGATCTTGAGAGAAGAGTAACAGGCATTTGCTTTAAGTCCATTGCCCTCTTTGGACTCTAAACACAGAAGAACTGTGGGATTTTTAGAACAGAAGGGAACTCAAAGGTCACTGAAGTTTGCAGAAATTAAGTCATCAACATACACCTTCAAAACAGAAAGATTCTTTCCTTACCAGACTCAAATCTCGTCTCCTACCCACCCTACTTCCATGTTACTTGTGCAGTCCTACAAAACTTTTATGTGAGGTGTAGCTCTTTGACACTGTAGCAATCAGTACCACAAATTGGACATTCTGTTCTAACGCATGCTTTCCCACCTTCCAAGACCATTGATTACAGGGATGTATCTGGACAGCTTTTCATTCGAGAGAATGGGGGGAGGGGCAGCTGTGTAGGGAATGTGAAAGAAACAGACTCTGCCCTAGGAAAGCAGAGTCATACTAGATTATAGGAGCCTGGGAGATTTCTAAACAAGGGAGGGATTTTTCATTTTATTTGAGGATGGAAAAGAGTCATGTGGTTGGCACATAGCTGACAGTCAACAAATGTTTGCTGAGTAAAACTTTATCACAAGATAAAGAATAATTTATTTTTAATAGGACACGGCAGTAAAATAATCAGAATATGATCGTGCTCTCACATTAAATTATAAAGTTCCCCAAAGTTAATTTCTGGTTCTTATTAAATTCTGGCATTAATGTTATAACGGCATCTTGCCATCTTTAAACATAGTTAATCCTACCCAATGAAACCTTAGTTCAAACCATCATTAATCAAAGAAGTTGTAAAGTTAAAACTATTTGAGTAACATTATATCTAGTGATGAGACACACGTAACGAGGGCAGAGAGATGAAACAACGTAAAATTGCATATTTAAAAAGTTTCAATTATAAAGTTTTTGAAGATTTCCTTAGTTTTAGATTTTCTTTAAACAAACAACAAAAACCTTAGTTAAAATCATTGCTGACTACATTGAAAAAATGAGCTCATGTTTAATTTGTTTAAAACCTGAAGTTTCTTTTAAAAGCGAACTGAAATTGAGTAAATGGAAAAATAATATTGCTAGATGTTTAAATGTGTTAAGATAAAAATATACTGGGTATTTGTTCAAGAAATCTTTTCCCATTCACCACTTCAATTTTTCAAATGAAAAAGGTGCAGTACATTCCCTAACAGAATATCTATGCTAAATGACTGGAAATTCTTATTTTAAGAGAGGGTCAATTTCATGCCACTTACCTAATATGTTATTCTGATATAATTGTCAGTATCAAATGGTCTTTGGGTTTGCTGGCTGATATAATATTGCGTGATAGGAAAGTTATTCAATATTTGCATAAAATAGTCCATAGTGTGGCCAAAATTTCAGCAGTGCTTCTGGAAACTTATATAAGTTTTCAAGTTGTACAATTACTCCACTGGCAATAAGTTATATGGTACTGATTTCAACTAAAGATGTTTGGGAGACCAAATTACAACCCTAAAAATTTCCCTCAGAAGTCTCTTGTTTAATGACATCTCTGTGCTATCAATTCATTGCTTCATTTTGTTTCTGGTCAGCCCCATTTCTCATGTAGTATATACTGAAAATACTGAAGAATTAAGATGGTTAGCCAAGATTTAACCACAGATAGGCCTAAATTACCTGAAAATATTTTGTGGTCCATTGTGGGCTATTCTGACTTAAAGCCCAACTCAAAGAAGCAAAAAATATTAAAATATAATCTAACTAAGGTATAAAAAAGGTCTTATACATATTTTCTTCTAAACTCCGCTAAGATTTCCAAACATAAGAAATCGGTAAGATTAAAGCTAACAGAAAATACATATCCCTGTTTTGATCTATATATTTGAAAATAAGTTATATTGGATATACAAGTGTGCTATTTATGTTTCCATTTCTTTACACCTGTGGCTAGATTAGATTTGGAGAATGCCTTCTAGACTTTCAATTATGTACATTCACCCTGTACAAAGCATTTAAAGGCAAGTATGATGCCAGTCACCCAAAGAGAAATTCAAGTCATGGAATTAACTTTCTTTTTAGTTCATGAGCAGCAACCTGGAAAATATACTGCCCAAGATCAGCAGAAAAGGTTTAAGCCTCTAGCTACGTCCAACTCTAATGACACATTTGCGTATCTTTGTCCTGAGTACTTTAAGAATACAGTGGCCTTGACAAATCACTGCTCAGTGAGTCTCTTCAGCCCCGTTCTAAAGATGCAAGAAGACCAGCTCGGGTATTAAAGCTGTGAAGGAAAGCAATGGGGCTTAACAGAGAAAGGCAGAAGGAAAGGGAGCCAGTAAGTAAGCATGGTCTTATAATGAAGACGTTTCATAATACATCATACTTGTGACTCTCAGTTTTTACATTTATGGAATGAAGACACTATGATCCTCTTTCACCAGAAAGTTGTACAAAATATCACAAGCAAGACAAGATCATCCAAATGAACAAAGTTAGAAAGATACCATCAAAACCACACTCTAACCAACATAATTATATTGATTTGCACACATGTGGAAATGGTCCAACAGGATAACCTATCAACTCCTCTACAGAGAAAGGTGAACAGCCCCTTATGGAAATACTCCTAACCTCCAGCTGTAGATTACTGCTATTAGAATCAGAAATAAAATAGATTCTTTTCAACCATGATATCACAAATTACATGAAGCTGTGAAAATAGGAATTCTACTGCCAGGAGGCATGAATTTCATTCTTTCCTAAGCCCCAAAGTCTAGGAAAGTCTTCAAAAGGTTTTTCCTCTCACTAGGTTTAGGTAAGAGTTTTTTTCATAATTGGAACAATGGTTCCAGTATATCCATTAGTAAGGCACAAATGTTGTGTAGGATTTCCGTTGAGATTACTAAATGTTTTGAGGAAGACTTTCTAATGGTAAATGAGATGAAAGAAAATTGAGAAAAAATTCAGTAGCTGTGACTATGAAAAAAAAAGTCTCTCTACACACACACACACACACACACACACACACACACACACACAGACGGGAAAGTAAGCCACAATTATGACAAATGTAATTTCCACTGTTAGAACCACAACTGTGATGACAAAGGTGATCATCGGAAACCAGGACTAATTTCTATCAAATTTCAATGATAAATTTGTGATGTTAACTTGAAACCTGGGCTTCCCTGTATTTATGAAATTCGCCAGGGAGATTTGGAGATCACCTCAGAAATTGAGCCATTCTTCAAAGCAGCTGAAACCGAGGGACAAAAGTCTGACAACCACCAGGCTGGGGAACTTTGTCATACTTCAGAGGACACACTAGAGGTAGAGGGGAGAAAGTTGCTTCCACACCTTCACAAGGACTGAGCTGTAGACAATGAATAGCAATTGAGCTATTTCTTTCTCATATGGGCAACCTGAGTCTGCCCAAGAATGAGTAGAAACAGAGATTTATTTATTTAAGAGTGATTGATGATTCTCTGGAAAAATGCCAGTTGGCTCCTAAATATTTTAAAAGCTCATATAAAAATAGACAAAAGACTTAAATATAATTCATAAGGGAAATAAAAACAACTAGTAAATATATGAAACAATCAAATCTCACAATTAAAAGTGCCAAATAAAATGAGTTGCCATTGCCAAGATTCTTAAAAGTAAAAAAGTGAGAATGTGGTGAGACAGGCATCAGGATGCATTATGAGAATATAAAATTGATACAGTCCTTCTAAAAGCCATCTGGCAATGTGTACAAAAGCATTAAAATATTCATAACTTTCAACTCCGATCTAGGAACCCATCCTAGGAAAATAATCTAAACGTGGACAGAGATTTATGCACAGAGATGTTTACTGTAGAACTCTGAAAAAATTATAAATTACCAAAATGTCCTCCTACACAATTTTTCATGACCTCTTTTTATGATTACTAAAACAGTAAGTGTCCTTTCAATTATGAAGTATTTGTATCTTAAGGCCCAGGAATTATATTTGTTCCCAAGAGAAATTACATGTCCCTAAAATTTATCATAAATAGGTATAAGGAAAAGACTGTGGTACAAAACATTCCTCTTCTGGTGGTAAGCAGGTTTTTGGGTGGAATGGTTGATCATAATTGGATGTAAGATATAAAAGCTTAA